CGCGATGACACGATCAGCGAGATGCTCAGGTGGTGCCTGGACAACCGAATGCACTACATCAGGTGTGTGTGTGTGTGTGTGTGTGTGTGGGGGGGGGGGGGGCTATGTGGGTTGTGGTGGCGGTGGGCGGTTTTTCTGGGCTGACGCGCCAGCCAAACGGGCTGGCTGGCGTGCGCTGCCTGCCTGGCGCCCCATCCGCTGCTCGGCCGGCCCGCCAATGCACAGGCCATCGCCCGTCCCAACATGCTGTCCCCTCGAGCGCTGCCGCCTCTTCCCACGCTTCCCAACCTGACGCCGCACTCTCCCCTCTGTTACTCCTTCTCTGCCTGCAGCGATGAGGTGTATGCTCTGTCCATGTTCAAGCCAGAGGAGGCCAAGTTCACCAGCGCCATCACGCTGGCGCAGCAGCTGGTGCCGCCGCCGCCGCCGGAGATGAAGAAGCAGCGCAGCCGCCTCGCCTCCTTCTTCTCCCGCCAGCGCTCGGCGGCCGCGGGCGACAGCAGCGACGACAGCAGCAGCGAGGAGGACAGCGACGAGGAGGAGGAGGTCAGGGCAAAGAAGAAGGCGGAGCGGGAGGCGAAGAAGGCGGCGCGCGCCGCCAAGAAGGCGGCGGCCGTCGAGGCTGCCAAGAAGAAGGCCGAGGAGGAGGAGGCGGCGCGCAAGGCGGCCGAGGCGGCGGCAGAGGCGGCCAAGGTCAACGGCGGCCTGGCGCCCGGCTTCTACAGCCAGGAGCAGGTGGACACGTATGTGCACCTGCTGTACGGCCTGTCCAAGGACTTTTGTGCCTCCGGCCTCCGCGTCGGTGCGCTCTACACCCGCAACAAGCGCCTGCAGCAGGTGGGGGTGGGCTGGCCTCGAGGCAGGCTGCGCGCTGCCGGCGGGGGCTCGATGCCGGCCCTGCGGGCACGCTCTCGTGCTGCGCAGATTGCGCCATCCACCCCGGCTCCGCAGCGTGGTTGCCTGCCTTTGCCCCTGGCTGCTTCAAGCCGCTTCACCACCTCCACGCCTGCCCGCTATCCCTGTGTCTCACCTCCCGCCTCCCCGCTCGCCTCCACCATTGTACCCGCTCCGCCGCCCTCCTAATACCACACCGCCCCCCACACACCACACCACCCCCCTCACACTACGCCGCCACCCACACACCACACCATCCCCCTCGCACCACACCGCCGCCCTGCAGGCCCTGGACCCCATCTCCGTCTTCACCGGCGTGTCTGGCCACACGCAGTGGGCGGTGGCGCAGCTGCTAGATGACCAGGAGTGGGTATCCGGCTTCCTGCAGCAGAACCAGAAGCTGCTGCGGGAGTCGTATGACGTGCTGGCGGGTGGGTGGGCCTGGGCTGGGCGGGGCTGGGCGGGCGGGCTTGGTTGGCAGGCTGGGAGTGGGCGGCTGAGCGGGGCGGGGGCTGCTAGGCGGGGCTGGGTTGCTGCCGGCTTGCTCCAGCGCAAGCCCGCTGGCCTCTTGTTGGCTGCCGCGCCTGCCTGCGCCTGAGCGTGCCCCGTCCCTGCCTGTCCCCCCGGCTGCAGAGGCGCTCGAGGAGGAGAAGATTCCGTATGTGCCCGCCGTGGCCGGCATGTTTGTGTGGATCGATCTCAGGTGTGGCTCATCAATGTGTCTCCCGCTTGCTGCCTGGCCTCTGCCTGCGCAGCCAGCCAGCATGCGCTGCTGCTGGATGCGTGCCTGGCGGCATAGGTGCCTGGCTCCTGCGTCGATCAAGTTGCAGCTGCCTGTCCATGCCGCAAACCCGTTCCTTGCCGCCCATGCTTCGACTTCCAACCCCTTTCCCCCGCCCCCCTCGCCGCTCTTCCTCGCCCGCCAGGAAGTGGCTGCCGGAGAAGAAGGATTGGGAGGCGGAGCGCAAGTTCTGGCAGCGCGTGTGCGACGACTGCAAAATCATCCTGACCCCCGGCCACGACTGCCACGCCGCCGAGCCGGGCCACTTCCGCCTCTGCTTCGCCTGGATGCCGCCGGTGGCGCTCAAGGAGGCGGTGCAGCGGCTACGCAAGCGGGTGCTGGAGGATGAGGAGGAGGGGGAGTGCGTGATCCAGTGACCTGCAGCCCGGCCCAGCCAATCCAGTGATCCATCCAGTGATGCAGCTCGCCGGCTGCGCTCTGCACAGCGGCAGCGCCCTGCGACCTGCGGAGAACCAGAACCAGCCCCATTTTGTTATCCCACAACCGATTCCCAGAGTACTGTTATCCCACAGCCCATTCCTGCTCAACAGCTGCCCGGTTTGGCGGGGCGGACCGCCTCCCCGCCCGTCTCCTGCTCCTGGGGCGCACGGATGCAGCCTCGGCGCGGTCTGCTGGCTCACCCTGGCAGCCTCCAGCTCACATCATCACAGGCCCTGGAGCGTCGAGCCGTGTGCTGGGACAGCCAGATGCTTTTTGGAGCATTCGCCTGCCTGATAGTGAATGGGTTGGAGGGCGGGGTCAGAGCCGAGCGGGAAGTGGCAATGAGGCTTGAAAGCCGCTGACTTGGCGCCGCCGACTTGGCGCCGTCAGTCTCAAAACTAAAGTTCTCTCTCTTGGTTCTGAACCTGCCTATGTATACTGCCATGACCGCCCTCCCTGACCTCCCTGCCCCTGCCATCGAGCTAATTGCTCGCCACGTTTTGTGCACCTGGGACAGCTGCTGCGGCGACGGCGGCCTGCCCGGCAGCGATCCGCAGCGCCATGTGCTGCCCCTGGTCAGCAGGAGCTGGCGGCGGGCGCTGCAGCTGATGCCCGCCGGCGAGCTCTGGGAGACGGTGCGTGGCCGGTGCGTGGCCGCCGGCAGCCTTGGACTCCAAAGCCTGTCTTGTGACCCCAACTTCCAACCTTGGCTGGTGGCAGCGCCCAAGCTGCAGGTCACGGTTGGCACTGCAGACCTGTTCCCAGCAGGCAGCTGCTGCAGCAGCAGCGGCGGCGGCGCCGCTAACGATGCCAGCAGGGCCAGGGGCTACAGCAGCAGCGTGGCCCTGGGCAGGATGCAGGCGTGGTTTGCTGCACGCGAGGGGCTGGTGAAGAGGCTGGTGGTGCGCCTGCGATGCACCACGGGCTGCTGCAGGCAAGCGCACTGAGGCCAGGCGCAGCCTGGCAGCGGGTGAAGACCCGGGGGTGTGCAGGATGTCGGGCCACAGCTCCCGAACTTCTCTTCCCATGTTGCCCAGCACTGCAGTTTGTGCGAGCTGTGCCAGGCGCTGGTCAGCGTGCTGCTCAGCTGCCGCAGCAGCCTGAGCTCACTGCAGCTGGAAGTGCAGGGGGCACCTCTTCTGGTCTGCAGCATCATGCCGCGCCTGGCGGCGAGAGCGGGTGAGCGACGCTGCCAGCCACTGGCAGCCCAGGCTAGCACTTCAGCAACGCAGCTGAATCTGCTGCTGTTCATGCCACCGCTGTGCAGGAGACCCTGCCTGCCTGCCCTTCCCCAACCTGCGATCCCTTGCCCTGTGCCTGGAGGGCAGCGAGTCGTGCAGCCAGGCCACAAGCGCCCTGCACGCTGAACATGCCCTGCAGGCGAGCGGGGCTGGGTCGGCCCGTCTAGCCCAGCCAGGTCGTGTGAACAGAATGCCACCACTCCAGCTCGCCCAGCTGGCATGTTTGCTTGCTGGTGACCCGACTGGCTGGTGCTGCCTGCCTGCAGGCCGTGGCACTGAGCACCTCCCTGGAGCACCTGAGTGTGACCCTGCGCGGCATCCGAGCGCTGAGGGTGCCTCCAGACCTGGCCCGCCTGGCGCAGCTGCGCAGCCTGGAGCTGAGGCTCGATGGCTCGCAGGTGGGCGAGCGCTGCCGGCGCTTTGGCTGCCGATCCCCAGCCCAGGCAGCGCAGCACGGCATCGGTCATGGCTGTTTGGTCCAGCTGCTGCTCTGCCGCCCACGCCTGCTGCAGATGCCCTCCCTGCTCCCGCCAGCCACACCCACCTCCGGCGGCCTGCTGCCGCGCACCCTGAGGCGGCTGGTGATTGAGAATCCGCCGCTGCGCCTTGACAGCGCCGTAGCGCTGGCCGCCGACCTGCCGCTGCTGCAGGCCTGCCAGCTGTCACGGTCGTGAGCCTTGCGCCAGAGGGGAGCGCTTCACATCCAGCCCCCAACGTCTTACTTCCATGGCACCCCACTCTGCCTTTTGGTTGATCTGTTGCCAAATGCGCAAATTGACTGTGCATGTGCAGCACTATGGCAGGGAATGCTTGGCAGAAAGCAACTGCTATTGGCAAAGCAAAGTAAATCACTTGAACATGAAGAATGGGCAAGGGGGCTGCGTTTGGCCACATGCCTAGCGAGCTGAGGGAAGGGCACCGCCTTCTGCCCTACCGGTTCTGCCACTTGATCTTGCACAGCGCAAAGGTGCTGGACACGAAGAAAGCGACGGAGAAGGAGGCCAGGATGAGGACCAGCCACCAGCTGAAGCTCTCCTTGTAGCCAAAGTAGCTTTCAATGAATGCCTTCACCGTGATGGCAGGTAGGCCTCCCGATCACCGGTCCCCTCCTGGCGGGGGTCATGCATCCCCCACCCATCATGCATTTCAGGCTTCATCTCCCTCAAACCTCCACCATTTTCCCTCTCGTTTGTCGTGATCGACTCCGGGTAGCCCAAATGCCATTCTAGCGGGGCCTATGGGCCGCGACGAAGCGACCAACTCTGGTGGCAAAGGCAGCAGTCTCGGCGTGTCTGCCAAACGCCTGAAAGGCGGCACCAGCAAGTCCCAACACAAGCATGTTACAGCTCTACTGCAAAACTGGGACAGAGTCACCAAGGCGCATCCTGACCTGCGGGGCGTTCTGCTGTTACAGTCTGCATACTCCAACAGCAATGGATGGGCTAGAACGCACAATCTTGCCGGCATGGGCCCACTGCTGAAGGCTCTCTTGGTGGAGATAGTGGCATCCGCCGGCGGGCGGCGGGTGACGCCACGCATGGTTGCCGACATTGCGGAGGGGGCGACGGCGGAGAACTTGCAGTTCCTTTTGCGAGTTCTGGAGTTTTGTACAGCTGCCGAAGTCGTGGGGGGAAAGCATGTTGAGATGATGATGAATGCTGTCACGGGCTGCAAGCTCGACGCCCCGCCAGGTGCGCCTGGTGGCCACGCTCAGCCAGCCAGTCTCT